CATTGTTTCTCATATAAAAATTCATAAAAGTACAAAACTAAGTACCCTCACTTATTTTCAACAAGTATTAGGGTATTTATTCTTTCAATTTACATATATTACAATGAATCAAAACATAATTCTCATTTCTTAAAAATATTTTGTTTGCATAAAGAAGTTGGAAAACAGGTGGATGCTTTGGAGGCATTAAAATAGGTTTGTTTATTTTATACCTTTGAGCATAAGGATATGCCCCTCTTAATTTTAAGGATAAAACAGAATCTTTACTTGATAAAAGCTATAAATTTTACTAAATATTATACTTGTAATTTTTGTTTAGCTGGATTTTAATTTAACATATTCATTAGATATGACATAAACTGGTTTTAAAGGACAAAGAATGTATTATATCCAGAATAGGTTGCATATATATTATATTTATAAAGAAATGCATGCAGAGGACCAGCAAGATCGCTCAGCAGATTAAGCACCTGATTTGGCAAACACACGGACCAGGGTTGAATACCCAGTCCTTCATGCTGCGCTGGCCCCGCCCCAGGGGCACGCTGAGCCTGTGACAGAGTATGGGCATGGTGGTGCATGTCTGTAATCCCAGCACTGGGGAGGCTGAAAACAGGAAGATCCCTAGGAGTCCAAGCTGCCTAGTAAGCCCCTGTACCAAATACATAAATGGAAAAAAAAAAAAAAAGAAAAAGAAATGCATGCAGAAATTGAGTCCTGAAATCAATATTACAGGAAATTGTAAATTAATGCATCAGGTTCAGAATGTGAAATTTCTGTAAGTAATTACTGTTTCTCTGGGCTGGTGAGATGGCTCAGTGGTCTAAAACACCTACTTAGAACAAGCTTAGCAAAGCACAGGGACCACAGTTCAATCCCCCAGCACCACATGCCAGCCAGCCCCGCCCCCTGGTGAGCTAAGCTGGCCACACACACACACACACACACACACACACAAATAAATAAAATTAAAAAAAATTACTGTTTCTCTTGGTTGAAGTCATAGAAATTAAAATATTAAGTCTTTGATGAAGAATTATTTTTCCCTTCTAAGGTATAATTTTATTAAAATCTTTACTCAATGAATACCAAAATTATTAGAGATTATCTGCTATTAGAATATAGCTTAGAAGTTTTTCCTCATTAAGTTTACTTATAGGTTAGATCAAGGTATGGCAAATAAGTGGTTATTGAATCTGGTGTTTAGCAGTCATTTCAAAATCAATTCTGCATGTATCAAGTCAAAATTTTCTCTTTATTTCATACATGATACCCTCATGTTTGCATAATCTACGGTGTTAACCCTAACAACTTAGTCATGTAATAATTTAATATACTTATAATGCCAGACAATGAAATAATTGTTTTTTGACTGGCAGAACGTGGCTATTAGACACATGCATTTTCAGATGTTGCTTTTACGTTGTCACTAAGGAATTTCTGAAAGAACTTCACAATGCAATTGTAGATTTTGATGGTGCCAGTAGCATTGGTAGCAATCTTTAAAAGAAATTTCATTAAAACTAGTTTCACTGACTTTATCTAAACAGAATGAAGTTCCAGTCAGTAGTCTCTCTAGTCCAAGTAAAATAACACCACCAAAATTCAGTTTAATATTTTGGGGAGAAAAACACATATTGTTCTTATTGCTATACTTGAATAATATGTGATTCAGGAAATAAAATTCTAAAATAAACTCCTTATTACCCTTCATAAAATAGAATTTTAAATATAACTCCTTTTAACTTTTTTTGTTTTTATCTAAAACCCATGCTTTAAATACAATGACTTTGGAACTTCAATTGTGTTACACATGATGTATCAATTTTTATTACTTTATTTTCCAAGTACAAAATAAAGCACAGTAAAATTGAAAAATCATTTACATTTGCATAATCTGATTTCTTAAACAGAGATATAATTCTTCAGTTTGAAATAATAGGAAAATAACTGTGCTCTGAGTGAGGAACTGCTCCATTTTTCCTGGGTCATGTGAGGAAATTATGATACTTCCCTACATTTCTTCATTTTGTTGTCTGACAGTTTGTCCTGTGCTAAAACTCACATTTATCACTTTAAGTCAAAAACATATCGGGGGCTGGAGAGATGGCTCAGTGGTCTAAAGCACCTACTTAGAACAAGCTTAGCAAAGCATCGGGGACCGCGGTTCAATCCCCCAGCACCACATGCCAGCCAGCCTCGCCCCCTGGTGGGCTGAGCTGGCCACACACACACACACACCACACACACACACACACTCTCTCTCTCTCTCTCTCTCAAATAAATAAATAAAAATAAATAAATAAATAAAAAACATATTTAACTTTTTTTTGCAAGAAAATTTCTATATGGTCAAATGTGTTGGTGTGCTAGTAAAAATTTCAATTAGCTACAATTCATTTCTACTTTTTAAGAGGTGTGCTTCAAAATTTCTAAAACTGTGATAACTGTTAAAACAACCTTTTCAATATTTAATGTAATTGAATTAGCATTTTATTTGCACAAAATTATTATATTTGTTAATCATAAAATTTTTTACTTATTAAAATTTCCTTCAAAATATGAAGTTATATGTGACATAAGAGGTTAAATGGAGGCCAAAAATTCATGTTTGCTCTTTAAATACTTCCTCTTAAATATTTGTATGAATCCTCTTTTAATAGACTAGACATAAAAGTTGGATGCCAAAGTAAAATTACCTATTGGGGTAAAACTTAAATGAAAGTAGAGACCTATGTATGAAACATAACTCTTCATTTTGAATTCAAGAATCTGAATCCATTATGCAGTTGCCCATATACAAAGTCTTAAAATTGTCTTGTTGTACTAGCTTATCTTTGTTATTATCTCATATAACCTTTTGGGGGGCTGTTTTGAGCAAATTGAGTAGGTGATGGAAGGTGTCTGTGACAGTTATTCAAATTTTTGGTCAAATTAAACTGTAAATGTAGAACATTAATGCATTTACATCCCAAATACTTTCTGTCATTCTCCCTGTTGGCTTAAATTTTCAACAAGGCTAACAGCATTGATTACTCATTAACTTGGTCAGTAATGTTTTTGTCATTGATTTTTTTTTTAGTACCCCACATTAATCTATATAGGAAATGACCTTATCAAACCTGGTTACTTTATTTTTAGGCATGCCAACCCTCAATTGGTTTAATTCCTGTACTTTACAATCAAAGAATGTCTGTTTTATTAACTGAAAACAAATTTACATGTTACTTTTAATAAAGTGCAGCAAGTTGGTTTACGTAGTACAGATCTGTCATTTTCTGTGTGTTGACATTATGTAAGCATTGGATACATGGAAATCATTCACCTAACATCCTGTGTTGCACTTCTTAATGCTGTTTTCCTTCTCTAGTAGAGTGGTATTCAAAACCAGGATAAAGTTCCAGAAGGAGTAAACTGCCAAAAAGCACAGATAGCCAGCCATATAACCTTGGAGATCTTAGTTTTTTTTTATCTCTTTTCCTTGAGAATAAAGTAGAATTAATAATAAAAAAACACACATTGGTGGGCTATTTTAAGTTTCTAGTGCATGAATGCAGCCAAATAAATATCTTGGAATACTTATGCAGAAAATGAATAAAAAATATGTTTCTTACTGTTATGCTTTACATTTTAAGGTGGAAATACAGATTTTTCTCAAGACTGAGCAACTATAACAAAAATATTCCCAGTAGCATCTTGGCAATAACGCATGAAATGTATATTTTATAGTTACTATTAAGCAGTGCACTCATGACTATTTTTATCCTTTAATATGGCTTTTAGCAGAGGAATTTTATAGGAGGACTTGCTTCCCCAACAAAACCCTTCACACATGTACTGTACCTTAGACAAGATGGTAATTTTCCTTTGTTCTTTTAAAATATTTACATTTTACTTTTGTCACTGATTTGGGAAATATTTAGTATTTGTTAAACTCAAACCAATATGTAACCCACATGGATAAATTCACAATTAATGATTAAGCATGTTTTGCTCTTTAATTCTTACACATTGTCAGTTTGAGTATTTGGTTTTAATCTACTAATTTCAGCAATTTTTAGATTCTGAACATTTTAGCATGCTTCCCCTGATATTTCAGATAACTATAGCATAGCTATCAATCTATGCTCTTTATGAAAATTTATTTATTTATTTTTTATTAAATATTTGACTCACCTTGTCAGATACTAAAGTTACATTTCTTGTTATATAGGTCTTGCTTTATCTTGGTCTTAACCATCCAGCAGAAAAGTACAAAAATGAGGTATAAAAAGTACAACCATATTTAATATACTGTGCTGTAAAAGTCTCAAGTCAACAGCTTCTGACATTGCCAGGCCTATGAATAACCCACTACTATTAAGGACTACTGGACTACATTGGATTATTTTGCTGAATTCATGCATCTTTTCATTTCTCCTAAAGTAATTACTTTGGTTCACTTCAGATATTCTAAATAGAGGTATTCTCTAAAGATATAGTAATTTCTTTTAGAAAGTGTTACTTATCATTGTACATCCAGTCACTTTAATATTCAATGTGAAGTTATATTGGTATTTTAAGCACAGAAGGTTGAGGTAATCATACCACTGAGTTTATAAAACTTGTTACTAACCTCTTTGAGTCTGTTCTATGGAATCTTGTGCATAACTATGCCTTTGCACACTTTTAACCCTATGTACTGTGCACTATTCCACTGTTCCACTGATAGGGAATTAGGAATTATGAATTTATCTATATGTTATTTTAATGTGTTTATAATTTTATGTCTGTGTAATCAATGTTTTATGAAATGCTGCTTATGTTAATGCATGCAGCATCACAGACAATGAGTTGATGTTTCAGAAAGGAGCACTGGGTAATTCAGTCTGAAAACTAAACCGAAGTAAGGACTAATTATTATCTGTTGGATTTAGCAACTTATGAATGACCTTTGTTTACACTTGTAGACAAGTAGGAGTTGCAGGGCTATATTAGTTAATGAATACGTGATGACAAGCAAGGAGCAGGTGTTAAATACCACATTAGGTTACCCTACAGGTTGGAGGCACTTACAAAGTTCTGCTAACAGGTAAGTTATTTATTTTTGTGACAAACATGCACTAAGGTAATGTTAATATAAAAATTAGAATGTAAGTAAAATAAAAACAAAAGTAAAAACTTGTAATGAGATTAGTATGTGACTCAGAAGAACATGTTAAGCAACTATGAAATTTATTTGTGACATAAATAAAAAATCGATTTTTAAAAATATCAAAGATGTGAAGAAATAGGGGATTATATGTATTGTCCATGAGAATCCTGAGATCACCCAGAATTTTGGCAGTATTAAGTAGGAGAACCATTTGCAAAAAAGAAAATGTTAAATAAATAAGAAGAAATAATTTAGAGGGTAGTATACTATATTTTTTCTTAAAAAGATACAGTACTTGGTGAAAGAAGCTTAACAATGGTGATAGTATAGAATAATGAAGAAATGGCCTGGTAACCTGATGAGTTTGTGTCTAACGTATTAGATAATATTTAGATATCACAATGTGACAGAGTTGTCCCAGCAAACTGTTGTGTTTGCTCTGCTGATCTTAGATATAATTCACACTATGTGGTAAAAGAGGAATTAAGATGTGGTCTTTATGTGTACCAAGTCCTCACAAGGACTGTAAATATTTTACACTATAAACACCTATTTTAAAAAGGAAAAGGATCAAGAACCGAGAGGAGTAAGGAAAGGAAGGGGATGAAAATTGTGTCAAGATGTGTCAATTACGTGTACCCTTTCCCCACCAGTTATGTAACATTAGGTACAACAATAGTGAACTAATAAATAGGCCAGTGAAAGAAGGTTGACCAAAAATAATATGACATGAGACAGATTCGGAGACTTATTTATGTTATTATGATTTTTAGCATAATAAGAACATACTCAAAATCTCTTACATTCACAGAAGAGGAAAAAAGATGAACATAGGCATAATTCATTTCATATATTATTCATTTGAATCAGTTAATAGAAACTGATAAATATGAGAACCTAAAAGAATAATTTAAAATTAAAAGGTACAATAGATACTGAGAAAGGGAAAGAAATTCTTCAATGAGAAGGAAAAAGGGGGATGAGGAAAAGGGCAAATAAAAGAAAGGAAAAAAGTATTTTTAGGTATATATTCTGAGCAGTTTGGATAATTTTATGTTGGATATCTGCTGGTCTTTAGAAAGGAACAGTTAATGTTTTAAATCTTATTTTACTTTGATTTTTTCTCCCTCTTTTGAATTTCTTATAACTTCTCTGTTATTGTTATTGTTATTGTTATTGTTTTGTTTTGTTTTCTTTAAATAAATCTTACACATTTATATCTGGTAATCTGAACAACCAATTTGATGATAGCATCATGTGATACAGTAGCTATTGTTGAATTCCCATTAGTATGTTTAGTGAAATCTTTTATCATTTGTAATGCTTTTTTTCTATCACTATTTTATATTCTTTAAAAATAAAAAAATTAAAAAAATATGGAACATTTTTGATTATTAAAATGTATTGAACATATTATAAAATAACATATTAAATTCAACAACATATTAAAATTTATTGTTATGAAAAATACATTTTCCAGAACTTTGAAAACTGTGAAGATTAATTAAAATTATCAACTCTATTTTTGCATATACTACTTCAGCAGTACAGTATGAAAACTGCTTCCTGTTCCCACTATATATTAACAAGTTATTTGATTACATTCAATATGCATTGATCAGAAACTAGGAGAAAGCTACAATTAGAAAAATTTCTCCAAATTGTAAAGAGCATTAATAATAAAATAAGTCAATATAATGTACAATGCAGTGTAATATACTCCATTCTACATTTTACCTCATGACCATTGCTTGTGTTGGTCTTTCTCCCTAACCTGCAGGCTTTCTTTTTAATATAATGTAGTGCTTCAGCTTCCAGAGAATTAAGTCAGGCACTCTTACCTATTCTGTTCCTTTTTTCTTACCCATTCTTAATGAAACACATTCAAAAATTCTCAGGAAGCAAGGCTAACCAGGAACATTGTTGTATCACGTTATGATTGTGACAGTGACAGCTGACAGTGGTAGTGGCAGCATTTGCCTGAATTGACATTTTCTATGATGCATTATTGATTGAGACTGTGCTAGACAGAATCTCAATATTTCAATCTACTTTTTTCTCAGTTTATCATAGTTTGAACTATCATTTCTACTAAATATGTTAATTATACACCTTCCTCCTGTAAGTGTTGTTGATAACAAGATATATTATTGTAAGATCTAGCACACGATTTAGAATTAGCTTAATAAACTTTTGCATAGCAAATTACAAATTAATTTTTTTAATACACTGACTTTTCAGCCATGGTAGAAGCCCTATAATGTGTCCTATCAAAATCAAAACTACAAGGCATCAATGTGCTCACTATTATGAACTGATCTAGCACTCAATCTCCTAAGACAAGTCATACTATTTTTGGAGTCCAGGAAGGTCAAAACTCTTGAGCTGAGACTCTCAGAGAGTAGAGACAAAATCTTTTCTGCAGAGCCCATATTTATTGGGTTTTCAAATAAAGGAAGGGGATACTGAGGCAAGTGCAAAAAGTGAGCAGGACTTTAAAAGATACTTCAAAGACTTCTCCAGAGAGCAAATTTTGCTGAATAAGAGAACTATCTTATTTCTAAATTGATTTTTATAGCAGGAGCCAAATGTCCACAGCTGTAGTCCTTATCTTGTGACCTGGAGCCAGAGCCAGGTGTGCTCAGCTGCAGGGTTATCTTGCCCTTTGAGGTGTCGCAGCACCTCAGACCAATGGTAGGAGAGGTTCACTTGCTGTGTACCTGTGGCTGCCCTGCAACAAGTCACCTAGGCCTGGGACAGACCCCTGAGTAAATACATGAACCCACTTGGTTATTTTAAAATTTTGCTCAGAGCCACTTCAGTGACTTGTTCAGTTCTTCATCTGATTTTAATGATATTCACGTTTTACAACCAAAGTCTACATTTCTACAAACTGTATTTAATGTTTACCCATTTGTGGGATGGTTGAATCTTTTAAGTCTCCTTTGCTACATTATCCATGATATTTTTCTTTAACTTTTTTATAGAAATAATGTCACTTTGACTTGAAAACTCTCCAAGACTCTCATGTCAATACTCAATTAATAATTTAATTTATTTCTCTAGTCTCTGTGTTTCATGTCAAGTAATTATTTAATCTATGCATTTTATTCAATTTAAGAGATCAACTAATACAGTAATACTACAGTTCATGAAAGCTTTTATTTGTAATTTGATTCACAACAAAAAGTTTCAGAAAATGTTTTAATCCATTAGCAAACACAACCATGGCTATCTTTTCCACAAAAAACAAAAATTGTAAAACAAGGTAAGTTTGAAAACCATGGTACCTCTGTGTGTTTTATAAATTCTTAGATATAAATACATATCTATCTGTATAAATACATCCCATGATATAAAGTCATATATGTATTTACATATTTATAGGCATAGGCTCATAAATATGTTAATAACTACATATGAAGGTATATAGCCACAGGTACTCTTTTTTCTTCTCTGTCAAGATTGCTGGCAAACTTCTAGCAAGTACCACACCTTGTCTAGTTGTCAGTTCTGATAATGTTATCAATTGATACTGCTTATTGCCTAGGTACATTAATTCATATTCTTTCATTTTTTTTCTTAAAATAAGTACACGAATATTAGCTTTCTTTGATCTGATATTTTATGTCTCAGAATAGATTTTACAGGAAGAATAGGCTGAATAATCAAATTTTATTTGTTGAAAAACACTGACTTAGTTATGACTCTCCAAATTTGTTTGCTTTTAAAATTGTTTCTTGGGCTGGCCTGATAGCTCAGGGGACTAAATCATCTGCTTAAGGCAGACGAAGTGGCTGGGGTTCAATCCCTGGCCTGTCTTGCCAGCCCCACCCCTGGGGCCCGCTGAGATGGTGATTGAGACTGGGTGTGGTGGTGCCCACCTGTAATCCCAGGGTTTGGGAGCCTGTAAACAGGATGATCACTACAAGTCTGATCCGTGTAGTGAGACCATGTAGACCCCGTAGCCTGTCCTAAACACAGAAAAAAAATGTTTATTAGTTTATGAATTCACAATTGCAGAAACATATTTGAAGTGTTTAAATATACTTTAGATATACTCCATACTGAATCAGAATTGATAGCAATTAGTTTTTATGTTCTCTGAGCTCATGTGATATGACCCTTTCTATCTGTCATATTGTTACATACTTGACTTCAGAACTGGAAATTTATTTCCATGAAGTTCTGGTATATTTGTGTGTGTCTTAGGTAGTAGTTCAGAAGAAAATTTTGACAATATAAATATCCACATAATTAACTGCTATTAACTGTTGCTGTCTCTATAATTTCTAATTGACACAATTATAGTATATTCAAGTACAGATACACAATAGATTGATTAAAAAATGTGCCCACCCATTTTTAGTATTATAAGTGCACTTTAAATAGAAGACTAATATGCATACCTAAATTCTTTCCTGAAATTTTATCTTTTCCTCACAGTAAAATCCATACATTCTGAAGAATGTCCAAAGTGATAGATTGGGACTATTACATAAATAATGTATGTATATATTTCATGTAAAAATCAGAGTATTTGTATTAGTGTTTATCCTGAATATTTTGGTTGTATGCAATTCATTGTTGAATAAATAAGAGCTCACAGAAGAGAAATTTTCTTAGATCTTGAGTGATTAGACTGCTGTTGTTTATCTTCTCTCTCTCTCTCTCTCTCTCTCTCTCTCTCTCTCTCTCTCCCTTTTTTGTTTTTGGTGGAAATGGGGATTGAACTCAGGCCCTTGTGCACAAGCTCTTATTTTAATGAGCTATCTCCCCTGCACCCTGCTATTCTTTTTGATTGTAAATTTATCTAGATATAATACTTTTGTTTACTTTTCCTATTTATCAGTAATAAGTGCATTTTATTTCTAAAGATGATATTGAAAATAACCTAATATACAGTGGTACTTTGGCTTGTGAAGTTAATTGGTTCT